TGCTTCTAGTTAAGTATAATTGCAACCAGGCAGCTGTTAAGCACCTTACTTACGAAGTCCCCTGATCCTCCAAGCAAGCGAAAGTCTTAAGTCCGTTCAAGCCTCCCGGGCAAGGTTGGTACCACCCAGAAAAACAAATAAATAAATAAATAAATATATATAGATAGATAGATAGATAGATAGATAGATAGATGTAGACACATACATATAGATTTCTCACACGTGAACCGCTTTAAAATTTGAAGAATCCACACAAATAAACCCTGCTCAGCCGTTGCAAGCCCCAAAAGCCCCATATAGAGCCCTGCAAGGCCCATGGCAGCCGCTGATGTTTCGAAACTCCCCATATTGTATGTTCTTGCCCAAACCCTAAACCCTAAAAGGTTCAGGGTTCAGGGTTTGAGCCTACTTGGAGGTTCAAGGGTAGTTATAACTGGAGTTATAAGTCCCCTAGTATAGGTTATATCTATAGTTACCCTACTTATAACCCTACTTATAACTACCCATGAACCTCCAAGTAAACCCTAAACCGTGTGCAGGTACGTATGGAGGCTACCAGAGAGGGAGGCGGCCCATGATGCGCAGGCCTCCGAGGATTCCAAGGAAAACGGAGAGCCACGGTTAGGGGTTTAGGGTTTAGGGTTTAGGGTTTTAGGGTTTTTAGGGTTTAGGGTTTAGGGTTTAGGGTTTAGGGTTTTAGGGTTTTTAGGGTTTAGGGTTCTCTAGGGTTGAATAAGGTTTCTTTTGGTAGGGGTTCCCAGAGACTCCAATATCCCTTAATTAAGGAATATACCTTGAATTATAGTGGGATCCCTCATATGATTGAAGTTTCTTGGTTAAGGGATATTAGAGTCTCTGGGTTCATGGGCCTTCAGCAGGTTTCCAAAGTTTCAGGGGCTTTGCGAGTTCCCAAACCCGCCCGAGACTCTGCGCCCTGTCCATTTTCGACCCGATGCCCCTCCAACCCTAAACCCTAAACCCTTTGTTTCCAAGGCCTGATTGCGTGTTTAGGGTTTAGGGCTTTCGGGTAAAGTCTTTGGACAAAACGATGGTGACTCTGGGTCTCTCCCACATCGACGACTCAGACGACCGAAAGACACATTCTACCAGTAGAAAGCGGCGGAAAAGGCGTCGGCAAAAGAAGCTTTTCTTCTTAAAGTGAGGCATTGGGTGTGCTCCCGGCGGCAAAGACCCAGAACATGCAGCCTACACGTACGTTGACAAGGACATCCAGAAGCACCGGCAGAAACTCGATGATGGCGGAGCTTTTGTGGGCCTCCGCCGATAGTGCCCATATCCATATAATGCCGCTACGACGCGTCTTGTCCTGCCCTTAAATGTGCAAGCTGGAGGCTTGGCACTGAAACGCCGTACGACGCAGAGCATCGTCCGAAGGCCACGCATATCATGAGAAGGCCCCCTTGATGGGGGTTGGGGGTGAACTCTAAACCCTACATGAGCTGGGTGGGTTCACGAGCGACGCGAGCCCGCGACCTCGCATGACACACCCTAAACCATCAACCCTAAAACCCCAACCCCTGAACCCGAAAACTCCCTAAACCCTTAACCCCAAACCCCAAACCCTAAACCCTAAACCCCAAACCCCAAACCCTAAACCCTAAACCCTAAACCCTAAACAAACACCCTAAGCCCTAAAACTCTGAATCCATGAAGAGCCGACGGAGAGCCCCTTGATCCGGAGCAGGCAGGCGCTTTGCTGCCAGCCGAGGCATGGAAGGCCTGTGGCAAAAGTTAGGGTTTAGGGTTTGGGGTTTGGGGTTTAGGGTTTAGGGATAGGAGCTTAAATAACTTGAACAGGTTTCCTTCAAAGGGTTCTTCAGAGGGTTCTATGAAGGCTTTTTGGGGTCTTGGTGCTTTAACAACCCAGAGAAACCGCAAGTCTGCAATTCTGCAACATACCTTAAAAACCTCAAATTTTAAAGGGGTCCTTTACTTAATCCTATCTGATTTATGAGTAGACTCTTTGATTCAGGGGTTTCCTGCTGGTTTCGAAGTGTGGTAGAGCAAGAAGACTGTGGCCCCAAGTGCGCAGTCAATGTAGTACAAGCAGGCAGTGAGCTTCAGAAGATGTCAGTGCATGAAGCTTATCCTAGACGTTGGTCTCTCTTGCACCTTGATGTAGAACACGCGCCAACACCCGCCCTCAAAAAGCGCTTCAAAGACGTGAGTCCCAAAGCTTGAGCCCGAAGTTCCATGGAGCAGTTGAGGCCCAACGGCAGCCGCTGCCGTTAGCCGAGTACCCAGCGTCTGGCATATCTAGACTTTCATGTAGGATCATCGCGGGATGATGCTCCGCTTCCTTTTGCTCACCCTTGCAGCTGGACTCCGCTTGAACAACGACCCGATGCGGCCGTGGGAAGAGCACCCAGCAAGCACGGCCGAGGAGCTTCAGGAGCTCCTGACAAGCATGATTGCGGAGGCCGGCACCGTTCAGGTCCCTCACAAGGCCGGCGGTGCAGAAGCGCAGGAGGTGGAGCTCAGCAAGGTGGTTGCCGACATGCTTAAGCCCAAAGATCTGCTTGCCAACATGATCCACACGATCTGGCAGAGTAGCAGCACGAAGCGGTGCCATCAGCAGCTACAGCAGGTGATGGGCAATCTTACGCTTACCTGCGAAGGGTTGCAGCCAAAAGCCGACTGGCTTCTCGACTACTATGCTTCTCCCCTCCCGAACAAGACCTGCACCCAAAGCGTCAGCGACATCTTTGCTTCGGGAGACGAGCTCGTCCCGATCCTCCAAGTCTCCAGAGATGCAGTGGCTTCCTTGGATGTGTCCGACGAGGTGCTCCGTCGGTATCAGGCGCTCTCCTTTTTGAGGAACTGGCTGGTGAAGCTCACCCGCACTCATCATCATGCACTGATTTGGGCCGGCTTCTGGGATGGGGACCCGCAGAAGCGCACGACGAAAGGGAAGCTTTCCAACTTTGCCAAGTCAATAGAGCATGCGACGATGCACCCAGACAGCTTCCTCGGCCAAGTCATCGAGGGGAGCCAGAACCTCGACGCTTGCTACGAGGATGCCCAGACCATTGCACTTGCAGGAAACATGTGGTCCATCGCGAGCATGAGCTTCGTTCTCGGGATGCGCGAGAAAGCGCAAGGAACCGTCATCGCTCTGGTCAACAAGAAGATCACGGGGGAGCGCAACTTGTCCCAGTCCGTGCTTTCCACCCATGAAATCCCCACAGTGGGGCTCGCAGCCTGGGGGCTCGGGTTCTGGTCTCCGAAAGTGATCATCGTGGACCTCATGGGCACGTGCAGCCAGACGAGCCCTGCTCTGCAGAAGCAGCTGTTTGTGCGCTTGCCCGCCTGGGCCAGGTCGATGAAACACTGGAGTGCAGAAGCCTTTGCGAGGAGGTCGCAGCTGCAGTGGCAGTGCATCGACTGCTCGGGCGCTTGCAGCCTTGACGACGCCTTGGCAGAGCATGTGGAGAAGTTGGTCAAGGCAGCGTCGAATCTGAACGAATTCCGAGAAACCCGAAACCATAAACCCCAAATCGTGTGTGTGTGTGCTTCCCCTAGAGCCCTAATCTCTGAGCTCCAGATGACTCTGATCCGTACGGTTTTTGCTCAATGCTTTCGCTGATTTTTTGGAGGCCAAAGAGGCGCAGGACCGGAAGGACCAGGAGTTGCGCCAGGCCGTTTTGGGTCATGGGACTTGGCAAGTACGGGTGCGCGCGCTAGTTGAGGCCAAAAGCAGACGTATAACTGTAGCACTTCTGTGCTCATGAACCCCACTTACTGTCTCCCAGACCCCACAGCGGCCAGAAAGCCGCTGCCTGCGAGGTCCTGAGTGCTCTCGCGGTACACGGAGCCGTTCTTAAGCACAGCGCAATACCGGCGGGCGTCGCCCTCAAGCTTATGAGCAAGCTGGTGAAGAAGCGGAGATTTCAGAATCTGAAAGAGGTGAAGGAGCGCGCACTTGCGCTGGCCCGTGACCGGGAAGACATCGGGGAGGCGGAGCGGGGGATTCCGGAGCTCGATGCAGCGACCAGGCAACTGAAGGTGAAGCAGCTGCTCAAGCAGAATGCTGATCCGAACGTTCCGGACATGCTCGGCTGCACGGCCCTCATCTACGCCGCATACGAAGGACACCAGGAGTTGATCGAACCCTTGCTGAGTGCTGGAGCGCAGCTGGAGGCCCGTGATGAGGTAGGCAGTACAGCCCTCATCTGGGCTGTCCGCCAAGATCACATGCAGGCGGTCGAGGCATTGCTCAAAGCTGGAGCCCAGATGGAGACCCAAACTGACTTCGGCAGCACAGCCCTCATCGATGCTTCAACGAAAGGCCGTGTGAAAATGGTCGAGGCGCTGGTGAAGGCCAGAGCCCAGCTGGAGGCCCCAAATGCGGCTGGCAACACAGCCCTTATCCAGGCTGCGCGCTACGGCCGTTTGAAGGTGGTCGAAGTGCTGCAGAGGGCCGGAAGCAAGCTGGAGGCCCGCGAGAAGAGTGGCAGCACAGCCCTCATGCGTGCGGCCTACAATGGCCACCTGCAGGTGGTCGAGGCGTTGCTCAAAGCTGGAGCCCAGATGGAGACCCGAACTGAGATGGGCAGCACAGCCCTCATCAACGCTGCCAAGCAAGGCCACTTAAAGGTGGTCGAAGTGCTGGTGAAGGCCGGAGCCCAGCTGGACGCCACCAATCTGCATGGCAGAACAGCCCTCATGTATGCCTCACTGAAAGGCAACCTGAACATGGTCGAGGTGTTGCTGAAGGCCTCAGCCCAGCTGGAAGCCAGTGACAACGCGGGCCTCACGGCCCTCAAAATTGCTGAAGTTTCCGGCCGCTTGAACGTAGCTAGGGTATTAAAGAAGGCTGGGGCCCAACCGGAGGCCAGCGATGAGGACACCACGACAGCCCTACCTAAGGTTTAGGGTTTAGGGTTTAGCCTACCTAAACCAGGCACCACAAAACAAGGGCCAGACGCAGATGGAGCAGGTGGACAGCCTCCCAGGCCGGCGTAGCCGCGGAGTTGCAGAAGAATGATGTGCATGTGTGTTTAGGGTTTGGGGTTTAGGGGTTTAGGGGTTTAGGGGTTTAGGGATTTAGGGATTTAGGGTTTAGGGTTTAGGGTTTAGGGGTTTAAGGGTTTAGGGTTGAGCGTTCAGGGTTTAGAGGTGCGTGTATGCCCCACTTGGAGCTTCCGGGTACTTTCATCCTTCGATTGGAACCTGAATGGCCGCTAAATCAAAACCCAATCATACCCTAAGCAGCACTAAACTCACTAAGCCCGAAAACGGAAACCACCCCTACCCAGTTATAACTCAACCAAAGCTTCGGGGGATCTTCCTAAGTCCCAGGCCCCAAAGGGCGCTGGAAAGCCAACCCCACTTGGGTTTAGGGTTTAGGGTTTAGGGTTTAGGGCTCTAGGGCTTTAGGGATTTAGGGTTTGGGGCTTTGGGGCTTTAGGGTTTTAGGGTTTTTAGGGTTTAGGGTTTTAGGGTTTTAGGGTTTTAGGGTTTAGGGTCTGGGGCTTGGAGTTTCGAGTCTCAGAGATGTTTAGGCTTAGGGTTTATGGTTTGGAGAGGTTTTGAGGGTTTAGGGCTTAGCGTTTGGACTCTCAGAGCTGCTATTTAGGCTTTACGGATCCGGTTCGCGGCGGAAGCCTACTTACGAGGGCCATGGGACTTCGCACGTAGAAGGTAACTAGACTATTTTTCTCGTAGAGTTTAACCCCACCAAGGCTACTTACGGTTGATGATAGAAATCCTGCATTACCTTAAGGACCCGCAACTAGGGGAATTAAGGTATATTCCTTATTCAATGCAGGATTTATATATCATCAGCCGTATGACTTTACTTATTGAGTCCTCTTGATCCTCCAAGTGACCAAACGTCTTAAACCGATTCAGGGATCCTTGGCGAGAGTGAAGGGTGGTACAGCCCTTAATAACTTTCAACCCTAAGCCCCAAGACACACACTGCAGAGTTAACTTCAAACACGTCCTAAACCCTAAACCCTCAACCCGAAACCCGGAACTCCAGACCGTAGTCTCTAAGACCAAGCCCAAGGATCGAGAAGCGGAGGCATGCATCTTCGGAATGCATACCCATTTCTTCGGAGACTGCGCCGTTTAGGCTTTAGGGTTAGAGCGTTTAGGGTTAGAGGGTTTAGGGTTTAGGGTTTAGGGTTTAGGGTTTAGGGTGTAGGATAGGGATTAGGGCTAGAGGGTTTAGGGTTTAGGGTTTAGGATAGGGTTTAGGGTTTAGGATTAGAGGGACCCCTCAAAATGCTCTATGGAATATTCCCCATTGAAGTCTCGGGCAAGCTCCATGGAACTGCTCCGGCCACCGGTCTTGCGCAGTGGTTTAGGGTTTAGGATTTGGGCAGTTTTCTAAACTAGGGTCATGTTTGGGATCCTTGTTACAAGGGTGCCGCACCATATTTGGGATCTAAAGAGGTGCCCTAATTTAGAGAACTACCCTTGTAGCTCACACTTATGTTCGGAGGCGAACCGTAAACTCTCAACATGCAACACCCCTGAACCCTAAGCCCCAAACCCTAAACCCTAAACTCTACGCCCGAATCTGGGTGAGCCTAAGCCCCAACACCTAAACCCTAAACTGGGTAACCCTAAACCCTAAGCCCTAAACCCTAAACCCGAAACCCCTAAACTCTCAACCCTAAACCCTAAAACCCTAAACCTAAACTGAAAAGCCCTATATAAACTGGGTAACCCTAAACCCAAAACCTAAGCCCTATACTCTAAGCCTCGAAACATCCAAGACCGTCACGAGGCCACGAGGGTCGGCTAACATCGAGAAGCTGAACGGACCAGCTCCCGTGCTTCTCTGAGAGGCCTGCACTCGATGTTTGGCAGGTTTTTTTTTTTTTTTTT